CACACGGTCCCACGGCGGCCCCGCTGACGAGGGTCGGTGGTGGTCAGAGGTGGGGCCCTCCGCAAAGGAGCCGCGCCAGGCCGGTTGCACTGAGGCCTGCAGGCGAACACGGGTCCCCAGGCGCCGCTGCTCGGCCGGTCCGTTTGCTTGATGGGTGGGCTGGGATCGCGGGGAACAGGAGGGGGCGGGGTTGAAGGACCCTGGCGTAATAGACAGCCGCATCTAGGAAGTGCGGTGGTTGTGCCACTTCGTTGGGTGTGGTCCATGTGTCTTACCACTCCGTGGTGGAGTATCAGCGAAGGGTTACCAGCCAGCAAGGAAACACCTTGCATGTTTAGAGCGGGGGATAATATCTGATAAGCAACGTCCAGAAGAGAACGGTCCCTGTTGGCGATAATACCACTGGTACAGCTAAGCTCGTTAAGTGTACGCAAACAGAGCTGACCAATGGTTACTTACCCTCTGGCGGAGTCCCGTTTGGATCGACCCTCGCTGAAGTGCACGTGGCGGGAACTTGCTATCAGCTTAAGTTCGCGCTTGTGGGCTGTCCTGCGAAGGCTTTAATGGGGCTTAATGGGGCTTAATGGGGATCATTGGAGTAACAGAGACCAAACTTCAGCAGCCCAAGCCACTTGCTGTATTGACGTCTGGTTGGGCAGGCGCGAGGCTGCAGCTCCTCCGGCATGCAGCCTTCGGAGCCAAGGGTACCAACAAGCAGACGCTTGCCGAGGCGTGGCTTCGAAAAAGACGGTGTGGGCTCCAACAGCAAGTTGGATTTTTTGGAATTGTGCTTTCCGTGTATGGACATAGACCTTATCTTCAAGTGAACTATTGTTGGAGGGTTCGGGGGTGCTCCAGAGTGCACGAAGTGAGGCCCTTGGACGTTTGGGTGGCCATTTATTACGGAGACCACACGGTGGAGACCGAACCAACGACGGATCACTGCAGTGAACCTCAAATTATAGTCCAATCACCGAACGGCGAACCTCCAAACTAGACACCAATCACCAAATGGGAAATCAAACCCAGAAACTGTCTAAATTATTGGGGCCGGGGCCACAATAATTGTACGAGGTTCCACCCCTGGAAATTGTTATACCCAATACGGCATGCTTGGCCGAGGGCCGCACGGCGAGGACCAAACTGAGGACCAGTAGCCATGTAGCGAACCCCAAACTGAGGACCAGTAGCCATGTAGCGAACCCCAAACTGAGGACCCGTAGCCATGCAGCGAACCCCAAACTGAGCACCAATCACCAAAGGATGTGCTCTGAACTAGACACCAATTACTGAACGGTAATTGGTGTCTAGTTTTCTAGTTTCTCCAAGGAAGAAATGAGTCGCTAAATGGCAAACCTAAAACCAGGACCCAATCGCAGCCGGTAAGCCCTAAACCGGCGCCCAATCAATCTCCAACGGTAAACACCGCGCCAGAAAACAATGCGGTACAGTGAACTCCATTTCAGCGACCAATACAGCACAGTGAACTCCATACTAGAGAGTAAGAGTTTAACGATAAACTGGAAACCAGAAATCAATCGCCGAACATTGAGTCCGGACAAGTATCAGTTTCCGCAATGTGAACCCAGAGCAACAACAAATCATAGCACGATACACGCTAAATCAAGCACCAATCACCGCGTAATGAACCGCAGATCAGACTCAATTTCCAAACAGTGAACCCTAAACCAGTGGCCAGTCAGTTGAGGGACCCCAGTCTGGGGACAATTACCGCATGGTGAACATAAGACAGAGGCCAGGCAACCCACTGTGAATGTAATCCAGTGGCCAATCACAACACGGTGAACCCAGAACCAGGCACCAATCACAACACTGTGTGTCCCAAGTCAGGGACCCATCACCAAACGGTGAACCTAACGCAAGGACCAATCACCAAACGGTGAACCCAAACCAGGGACCAATCACCAAACGGTGAACCCCAAAGCAGGGACCAATCACCAAACGGTGAGCTGCAAGTCAGGGACCCATCACTAAACGGTGAACCCCAAAGGAGGGACCAATCACCAAACGGTGAATCCAACCCAGGGAACAATCACAAACGGTGAGCTGCAAAGCAGGGACCAATCACCGAACGGTGAACCTGAACCAGGGAACAATCACCAAATGGTGAACCCCACACCAGGGACCATCCATGCTTCGTCGTGCAGGCGTAAGCACTAGATTCGTTTAGCTGTCGTGTTGACTTGTGATGATGTTGTTTGGGGTGCAAGCCATTTAGTGGGAGCCGGGCCTTTATAGTGTTTAATGTGGTGTTGTTTTATGCAGACCTATTGACGGCTGGCAACGTCTGTTGTATTGTTGCTGAATGTGATGAGCCCACGTGCTGCATGGCGTCGTTCGTGTTGTGTTATCAACTGACCAGAACTTTTGTTCGTCGAACTTGGAACATTCAGTGGCAGCGGAAGGAAGTGGTGCAACTTCGGTCGCGAGCCTTGTACTCAGCATTGCTCATTTTCCAATAGCTCCGCACATTCCGAAGTCTCTCTCGGCGCAAATGTCGTTGCAGTTAAGCGTTTGCGATTTGCTGCATGTCTGTAGACGGAACTTTGGTCTGCAATGACGTTTCATGCACTGGAATAGCAGCGGACTGTGGGTCTGCAGCTGTGGCTCGTGAGCTCGGCTGGTTACGTGGCTCTCCAGTGATGCGTCTGGCGCCTGAAGGTGTTTGGTCCGTTCCATTCATAGACGTGCTCCTAGTAGTCCTACGAAAGGAAGAGCGCATGTGAAGAGGTAATGAGTCATCAACCTGGATCAGGACGTTTTGGTCTCGCACATTGGACTCTTTGTACTTTGGCATTCTTGCACACTGTAACCAATAATGTGCCCATGTGTTCATAATGATAAGATATGCCAGAAACGCACACAAATGCTTTCTAGTTCAGTGGAAAGTCATCGGCGTCAGTTTGTCCCTGTCCTGCTTTTGTTTTGTTGTTGTTCACTGAAGGGTTTTCAGAGGCAGGTCGTTCCTGCGTTCGTGTAATGAACGGAATGAGTACGCCGATGGTGACGTTGCGGAAGCTTGTGTACTCCGAGTCGGGCACAGGGCATGCTAATGTTGTGCGGGAGAAAGGGACCAATGTTAGTGCGCTTAGTCCTTGAAGTCGCCTCGCTGCGAGACTGTATGTTCCTTGTTACTGTGTGAAATCCATCGGGATAACGTGTAATAATTATATCATGCAATTAGTCAGAAGCACTTGTCGCAACGGCATGGAGGCAAGCGTGAGCAGTGTCACCGATTTACGGCTGCGCGTTTCGTCGTGACGATGTGGTTCAATACATGTGGTGCTCGACTAAACCAACCCATCCCACAATTTTCCAATTAGCGTAATGACTGGAATGCGGCCGATGCCCTTAAGATGCACGCTCATCGCGTGAAAGCCAGGAGATCAAAGGCGGCAATGGCGCCCACGCCGGCAGACCAGCATACCAGCACAGCACGAAACCAGCAGCAGCTTCCGTCGTGTCGCTGACGTGAAACACGTGGCAAACACTAGCGACAATACGCTTATGACGACTCTAAGCTTTTTGAGCACCGAGCTTCGAGGTGAAAGGTTCAGGATTCTCAGCTTTATAAAGCATGCAACCACAGCACGGCAGGTCATATTAGTCTTCGGGCGCATAACTTCGCACAGTTAAAAGATATGACCACCACAGAGCGACCCGTCAGTGTAAATATACAACTGGACTTCTACTAGACGGGTATATTTTTGTTGAATCAAGCTGCATTCTTGGGACGTGTCCAGTTCAAAATGTTACGGTGAACAGCAATCCAACGATCCAGCAAGCCAGGGTTTATCTTCAGAGAACGTGTTCAATGGCGTCCCAATCCATGCTGCTGTTGTTGATTTGGAGTTTTAGGGCGCGCCGACTTCTGTGGTCATTTTGCGCCCACCATGCTGCGCATGCCGCGCAACGCGCCCGTAACGGCAAAGGACTGACCAGCAGCAGAATTTTGCTTCGGCTCCCATGTGTTTGTGTCCGTGTTAGCACAATGTAAAGGCCAACCGCAGACCACAGCACCAGCGGCGCATTGAGTTTGTTCATGTTGCTTTCCTAGGCGTATGGGCGTTAGTTCACATGATGGCGTGCGGCCGTTCTGTAAAAGACATGCAGCTCACATTTGCACTTGGTGCAACTGTGATATCCGCGCTTGACTGCTAGGCGTGCGTAGCGGTTCGGCGGTTTTTGGTGGATCTTCGCGTTGCTTCTCTTTAGTCCTCTGACGTATCGCAGCACACCAGTGCCAACCGGACGTGCAGGGCTGGCGATTCAGGAGCACAAGTGTCTGCGAGACTGAATGCGTTGACAGCTGGCGGAATGTGGCCAAGCGTTGAAGACGTGGAGAGCGAGCAATGGTGCACACCGCCAGGCTGCGCCGCTCGATAAACGCCAACTCACTGCGTTTTAGCCAGACACTCGAATGAAAAACACCACAGTTCGGATGATCCATATCTTTTCACTACGCGAAGATCCTTTTGCTTTGCGGGGCTCCTGTATAATGGAGCACGTGCGTTACGAGTTACTTGCGACAAGTAACTCAGGAAAAGTGATTATCGATGCACTTCATGTACCAGGGCATCGGTCCAGCAGAACTGTTATAGGTATAAACAATGAGCAGTGAAAACCCACTTTATTACCGTAATAATGTGCGCTTGTTACCATCAGGAAGAAACACCTATCACACAATTATTGACGAGGCAGGCCACCAGAATAGCGTAAACACGTTTCCATGGCAACCGCCACAACAGTTGGGCGGGACACGAGTCCCTGCGTCAGGAAGACCGGGCCAGCGGGCCAGCCCCGCGTGCTCCAACCACGTCCTGCAGCCAGCGTCTCAGGCTGGGCGCCCATCGGAGGCGAAATAGAAATACCCGTGACAGCACGCCCACCGTCCAGCACGGTCCAGCGGCCTGCGCAGACCCGTGGGCCACGCGAGTACCCATGGAAACAAACACCCGGACGCACACCCACATATTCCGATAGAAGTGCATAGAGAGCTTATTAGGGGTGGATGGCCGCCGGTCAAAAACGTGGGAATGGGGAGGGGCATCAATAGGGCGAAGACACAACGGGGGTAACGTATCCAAGTGTAAGGGCCCACCTAGCGCGCATCGGCCGGCCCGGCGGCGTCAGCTGACTAACAAGAGTATTCCCGCCTGGTGCCGGCCTCTCGCCGTCTTCGGCCCGGCATCGCCGCCACTACCATCGCAGATGCCCCGACACTAAACCCGCCGTCCACCCGGCAGGCCTGCTGACCTGAAGTGTCACCCGGCCTCGCCCCTGACCGGCGGTGAGAGGCGGGGTCGCGCCAAGGCGGGCACGGACGGACCAGATCAGGTCCGGCCCGGCCCGGCTCCGTCAGGTTCCGGGGCTCGGTGTCGAGCCCGGGGGAACGGGGAAGGAGCGCGCCAGGGGAAAGGGGGGGGAGGGGGGGTCATGGCGGTCGCTTCTTGGCGCCGCCGGTCGGACGTCATTGGCTCTTGGCGGACAAGTGCAGGCGGCGCTGGCGCGCGCGCGCCTCCTGTCGGATGTTGGCGTACTCGAACCACATGATGCACGGGATGAGCGAGGTATCGCAGATCAACAGCAGCTCACAGATCCGCCTGCCGGACCGCGGGACGGCATCAGCCAGGCACGCGCTGCAGGCCTCGCCCGCCGCTCGCCTACCCCACACATCGCGCCGAGTCTGTTACGTCATGCAACCTGCTCACCATACCGTCGGACGTTGTACGTAAGACAGGTTTTGCCCCTGGTCTTTACAAAACGTTCCACTCCGCGCACCATCTCTTCAAGATAAGTTAGGGTTGGCTCGTTAGCACTGGCCTTCAACACGTGCTTGACCGATGACAGAGTTATCATCCCACTCACCATTGCACTATTTGAGGGAAGAACGGTGTGCACACCCAGTGCACGAAGACGAACCAGAGCACACCAAAGGCGACGCCAACGCCTGCTCCGCAGACCACCTGCCACCAGGAATGGTACTCCAGGTACACCCTGTCGCACACGGAGAAGTACAATTGATGGCAGCCTCCTACCACCTGTCACCGGGAGTGGTAAGCCAATTACACCAAGTCGCACACAGAGGTGTACAATTGACAACGGCATTCTACCACCTGTCGCCGGGAGTGGTGCGGCAAGTACACCTTGCTACACACAAAAGAGTACAACTGACGGCGTCACCAGGAGCAGAGCTCCACACACACACACCCGCACGCCCGCACACGCACGCACACACGCACGCACGCACGCACGCACGCACGCACGCACGCGCGCACGCACGCACGCACCCACACCCACACCCACACCCACACCCAGACCCACACCCACACCCACACTGCGGTACAGCATATTGAGTAGAGTGTAGAGAGAGTGTACCGAGTCTGCCAGGCAGGTCAGACATACACGACCATCAACTGAACGTATTCTATAAGGGCGGATCAGTGCTGGTAGAAAGAATCTAGCGCTGGTAACAGAACAACTAAAACTTAAATGTAGACACTGAGGTGAGGCTTGAATTCATATTCGTCGCCACTGGGCCTTTATGACGCACTCAGCAGCTGAGGCTATATGGCAATGGCTACCTGTCACTCTGGCAGGGCCGGACACCGCGGGGTGTCAAACCCGCACCTCTGAGTTTCAAGGCGCTCAAATTAAACACTTCACCACTGGGCCTCGGTTGAGTCGATACTGACAAGAAAGGAATGGCATTGATAACATCCATGGATCGCAACGTAACACCACACGCTGCTCCGTTGAATTTTCTTTTTAAATGCGAGAGGCCCAGGCCAAGCCCTAGCCTAGGCCTCTTGCACAAGTGACTGACTCATTATTTGTGACTCATTATCAACGCACACTTACCGTAAGTGTGCGTTGATCGCCGCAGAAGCATCACTACGACCGCAGCGGTGTACACGTCAATTTTGTGAATACACACTCACCTACTGAACGATACTAATGCAGCGCAAACGCAGCACAACACGGCTGCCATATGCTTCCACATGTTCATCAGTAGTGACGATGTTTGAACGTGATGAAGCCTGAAAAATCCATGGAAGGACCTCATCAGCAGCCGCAATAGCTAAACGTCACGCGTTCACCACACGACTCGCCGTGAGTGCCAAGTCACTTGATAGTAACAGAGCAGTAAGTGACAGATACCATCAGCGTACTGGCCCGCACACACGGCTAAGGCCGGCACCACTGCAGTCGGCACGGGAGTTTTCTGAAACACCGCGGTAAGTCGTGCAGAAGGCAGGCGCATGGACCGCTTGGCGCTAAGTTTGCATCTGATATAACAGAACCGTTCCCAGAAGGCAGGTGGCTCGGGCGTACCGCCGTACCCGAGGAGCTCATTTGATTGGTAGACACAACCCAGGCTGCTCCAGCGTCGAACCAATGATTGCCGCGCAGACCACTTTTGCAAAAATGCATTCTTCTTTACCCTGGGTGGCGACATCCGAGCCCTCTATCTGCGTTCATGTCTATTCTTTTCCGTCCTCTGCTATATGCAATCCATCTGCGCACTTCGCGCCTGAGTGCTGTCGGCATAACATAGCTTAACTGGACTAACGTCAATGACCAGAAATGTACCGCCAGTCGGATGGCCAAGCGTCCTTCGGCTCGGTCCCCTGCCGTGACTTTCTATGACGTCACTGTGCGCCTGAGTACTGTCGGCATAACATAGCTTAACTGGACTAACGCCAATGACCAGAAATGTATCGCCAGTCGGATGGCCAAGCGTCCTTCGGCTCGGTCCCCTGCCGTGACTTTCTATGACGTCACTGTGCGCATGAATCAGACCGCACCACCCGAGGTCACTATCCCAGCATCGAATATTTAAAAACTGCCTCTCTATGGAACGCACACGGGTTACGCACGTGTTGAACGCGCACACCATTTTACCGAGGTTTGCTAACGACACCAAAGCGTTCCCCAAGCCCAACCGCTGGCACCATTTACACAATTTTGTATATCACGATTGTTGGCCGGAGCGACAACAATATCACGCGTCAACATAAACGCGTGCCGGTCTGGCCCACCTCCTCGTGGTTCCCCACCTCGTGGTCAGAAGTATGATGCGTCAGCGTACCTTATAACCTATGCCGTGCCATCCGGCCTGATAAGCTTTCCGGTAGAACTTCAAAGCAACATTTCCCACCAATCGGACGGCATGAACAAATGTTTACGACAATGCAATAGCAAGACCTCGGGGTCAGAAAATGCATTCTTCGCAGCTGTCATTTATCATTTGTGCAAGTGTCATACCGTTCTGGGGATGGGGTGCCATTTTGATGATTGCAAATCGACCGACGACAAGCAACACCTACTCACAAGCATTTTGGGTCTAAAACGTGTGAAATCACCAACTCTTCGGAACGAAATAGAGCACGACAGAATGGGAGAGGTTATACACACAGTACAAGAACATCAGCGGTTTTCTTAACACTAGGTGGTTGTGTAAAAAGGTGACACTGGGAGCAGTCTACCATGAACGTAAAACAAAAACATGAGGCAGAAGAGTCGTTTGCACGACGCGAACAACGATCAACTCCGGTTTCGTTCTTCATAGGGCTTTCTCGGTATGTCCACTGCAGTGCTCACTTAGCAGCCCTTTGACGTGTCGCTAGGTAAAACAAACAAATGCACATGATATTTATGGGTGCAACTAATCAAACCCAAATCAAGCTTGATGATAAAGGCCACTATAGTGTACAGTTACTACGGCTTCATGTCCAATCATAAATCCATCATCTGCTTCCTTCAGCCTTTTTAATGGTATGTAAAAGTAACCGCCGCCGACTATCTGGCGCCCACCAGGAGTGACTGTCTATTCGCATAGTCGCTTACGGCCAAACAAACCACAGGAATACAAACCAATTGTGACGAATATATGCGGTGGCCACTCCCGCTCAATATGGGTGGAAGTGACTATCAAGCACGCCTGGCATGCTTTAATTGCACACACACACAGAGGCGCCTATTGCAAAGCAAGTCCCCTTTTGCACCGATCTGCAATGTAGTGGCCAATATGCGTATTTGTCAAGGAAATAAATTTGTTGTAGCACATACCAGCCGGTCAGGTTTCCGCGTCGTTTCAGGGACCCTGCATTCTATCACTGATCCGAGCACGCACGTGCATACGCCCAAATCGCTTCAAACTAGGCCTCTTTACCCGGCCCTGGTGCGGGCAGGCGCGCGATATGACCCGTGCAGTCTACGCCCCCCCCCCCTCTCCCAGATCAAAAGGGCATCGGCAGTCGGTGACGGGGCGAACCTCCCCCCTCCCCCCCCCCTCTCCGTGGAAACGACGTCGGCTCACCGGATGAGCAGGAACAGAGTCAGGTATCCGGCGATGAACCACGAGAGCTGGGAGTGGGAGGACGGCATGCCGTACAGGCTGTAGTTTGTTCTCTTCAGCGACGGCCGCGCTTGCTGAAGGGTGTGCTTCAGAATGATGTTCAGCACCTCGCACGCACACACACCTATGAAGAAGAATATCTGCCAGCAAAAAACAACACACACGTTATGGGGATTTACAACAGAACAATGTAGCTCCAGGTTGTATCTGGAGATGCGACAAGATGAGATATGACGAGTTTACGTGACTTAGGAATGGCTGAGCCACCTGGCTTATTGCCGTTATTGACACTACATGATACTAAGAGCCAACCTGCCATAAACCGGGGGGAGCCGATTCATTGTTCATATGCATAAATACATCTCAATCGATTCCGATTGCAGCTCAAAACACATGGCGTTAATTCCTTTCCCAGACTGAGTAACTCAGCGCGACTCGAGGTCGACTACAATTCCCGATCCCGACTCAAGAGGAAAAAGCTTAAGTTTCGGACAAAAATGCAATAATGTCGACAGCAAAAAACATCAGTTCAAGACATAACCTGTTGCATGGCTCTCAGTGAGGCATTACTAGGACAGTTATTCTGACAGCAATTTAGTTATAAACCAATGTGCTATACTTCGTGTACAATCAAACAGACTATGGATGCACCCTGTCGCTTACATTTATTTTTGGGCCAATTCGCCGAGGACTTCGCTGACACAACTTTGACCCGATTCGCAATACAATATCAAAAAATCGATCCCAAGCACTCAAGTCTCAGCGCAGATTCACGTCAAAACAATGTACACGTGGAATCCAGACATAAGCATGATTACTGATGTAAGAAATTGTATAGAGTAATCCTATATCACCCTTGCCAGTGTACTCTTGGGACCCCAAAGTAAGTCCCACTTGTCAAGTTCTGCCGCCAGATCTGACAACAGCAACACAATCTGGGCTGCACCGACATATGGGCTAAAGACACAGCCAGGCTGCGTTGAAGATTACAAACGCCTGCATCTACCGTCTCGAATCAACACACAAAAGGGATGGCTCGTTAATACTGTCAGCCTTGGACCAGGCCTACACGACTCACTGTGTGCAGGTCCCTCTTGAACATGACAAGGGTCACGAAGCTGACAATGAGTGCCTGTGGTAGCAGGCTGAAGAGGCACAGGACTTTGCCAACATTGTCACCTGAAACAAGATTAAGCATTCCCATCACACTCACGTGAAGGCATACGAACAAACCGATCACACACCGCAATCATAAATGCGTGATAAACCAATAGTAACGTGTTGACGTGATGATAAACAAATGCATCGCCACGTCTCAGGATGCGACACCAAGTCAAGTCACCTGACCTTAAGCGCGGTGGCTGACACGGGCCGCCCGCCCGGAGCTCGGTTAAATGGAGCGCTTGCCCTCTGATTCGACTGGCGGCCGCGCTAAAGGTCAGGTGACGCTAAAGGTCAACTGAGCTTACGGGACGAACGGCCGGCGGCGGCCGCCGCCGCCGCGCCAAACCCAGGTGACGACGGGCAATGCCGAATATCACGGACGTTAACCATTTGGCGACAAATTTTGCCGTTAACGCGAGATTTCACGACCTGACGGTAGGGCCAGGGCTCATCCAACAAGCGCGCTTAGCACGCAACCTGACTTTATAAATTTATCCGATTAACACGCGTCCGGGTGGCCGCCTAGATATCCTTCGCTCGGGTGGGGCGGGAGTCAATTTGACTCCCTGAGATCTCGGGAACTAAGAAAGCTAGAGACACCAAATTTACAGAACGTGTTGACCTGTACCTGAACTCACTCAGGTTGCAATTTCAGGCTCCTAGGTCATGGCCTTCGGGTCAAAAAAGATCAAAAAAGGTCAAGTTCCAGGTCGGTCTCCGAAGTGACCACAGAACCTAGATAACCGCTTCTAAGCAAAAGGTCACATTCTCATTCAAGGTCAGTGACCTTTTTTAACCTTCTGAAGGTCAAGGCGAGCAAAATCATACAAGATTGCTTTGAGTTTTCCATTTGACTAAATGACAAAGACTACACTAGGCAGTATGTTCCTAAAACAAAATACAGACCTGGGTCATTTTAGGTCAATGATCTATTCTGACCTCCAAGAATTCCATGGAAGATGCATGATGCAGTTCCTGCTATCAACAAACTCGAAATGAACACCAGGAACTATCCCATACAGCAAGCCCTAGAGTAACAAAACAGGTTGGTTTTTACCTTGGTGTGACCTTCATACCTGACCTAAGGTCAATGCAATTTTCTCATTCAACTGTTGTGTTCCTAAGAGAGCATCTCAAAGATGCATGGCTTCGTTCAACACTCCGTTGTTCGATCCGATTGAACGATTCCCTTGAACTTGCCTTCACTGAAATCATGGTCTGACTTTGGCCTGCTATAGGCCAGCGACCCTACAAGGTAGATCTAAATTTTTATGCCAAATGATCCGCTATTCAACCTGTCTACAGCTTTGCAAAATTTGGCGCGGCTACGCCGCGCCGTTTGGAAACCATTCTAGAAAAACCTTCGGGAGGGGGTCAATTTGACGCCCCTCCCCACCCGAGCGCGGGTTAAAAGACCCAGACTAAAACTTCAAAGACATGCTTCTATGAACAGAACACGTGTGGTCAACACTTACAAGGGACAGAATAGTTCATGCCATTATATTTTGTGAGACATCAGTCCATGACAGAACCGCCGTGGACAAAATTCCACGCATATTATTTCGAAACACAAAACTCCTGCATGACATGTGCACCAATGAAACTTGTATTCGAAATAACTGCAACACATCACTGCTATGCGCAAAACGGAGATCTCGCTTGTCAAAGTTATGGCTGCGGGTACCGTGGCGGTGGGAAGGTCCAGAGTCCAGACCCTCCATGATTAGCCAATTTTAACATTAAGTGGCATACACTATATATTCTGAACCCCTCTCATTCCCACTACCATCCAAGGGGAAATCTCCAGCCCTGTTAACAGTCACGAGCAGCCGTGAAGTTTTCATGCACACGTTTTTGTGACATGTAATTTTTGGTCATGAACATATGTCATACAAAAGCACCATCCTTTACAGTTCTCAGGTCAGAGTTGTATTGCATAGATGCTTTGTCACTTCATATTGTGGCATGGGGGAGTTTTGTCTGTAGGAGTTTAGCCACACAGCAGTCTGGTCCACAGAAGAAATGGGATGTATCAGGTTTCGACAGTAACTGGTCCTGTTCTGTAGGAGTAATGACATGTAAAAGCTTTACCTGTGGAAGATCCACCACTCAGGAGTTTTAGCCTTCTTTTTTAGAGTCCGGAAAAAGGGTGTCAATAAAGGTAACGTCGTGCACAAGTTTTGCCCAAACACAAACATTAATTAGGTTTAACACAAGGAGTAAGGCGAGCTCTGATGGAACACAACTAAGGCCCTAACAAAGGCTATCACATTTTTGAACAGTGTAATGTTATCCTCAAGTGAGGCTAGAAATCACGCCGATATAGTCGAAAGAATTTGTTAGGACCTTATGGCCAGATATTGTTGGATTTCTCTTGCGGCAAGCATTACACCAGTCATTTCCTTTGCATCTCTTACTCAATTGGGGACCAAACGGACGCCGCCTTTTCGTGACCATATGCTAAATAGAGCATGATCAGAGAGGGAGATATTTCCACCCCGCACACACAGTATGTAACCAGAAGGGAGAGGGGCCAAAAAACGTCATCGTGGGCAAACGGCCAAAAGATGTCATGCATAACTTATCTTGCATGGAATCTTTGTCTGATGAAGTTTTCTTATGTAGTGGTTTTGACTACAATTGTAAAAGGTTTTCTGTGCAGAAGTTTTGCCTCTGCCAGTCTCATGAAGGAAGACATCAGGTAAAGTTTTGTCTGCATGATCCATGACAATGTGACAGTTTTGCCTGATGCATTTAAGGTATTTTACTGCCATGAATGGAATTATTTACACAATAGTGCTGCTTGAAGCTTACAGTCCCTGTTTACTTTGAACTCTTTGATTGCATGAATTGCAGAGATCAGCTCTTGCACCATGCAATGTTCAGTACATGGTGTTTATTGCATGAGCTGTGATTTCACCATTCAATCTTATAGTTTTGAGTCAACAGCAGGGTTTTGGGGCCAAACCCAAACATTCTGCCATGCTCTATATGGACAGTGCAGCCATTTGAAGTTATCTTACTTTTAGTGTGTCTGATACCACAGGACACAGGACATCCAGTCAGGAGTGAATGGTGAGCACCTAAAGCAGCTAAAACCCACCTGGTCATGGGTGAGTAAAGCAGAAGGCAAGTGCTCTAGCCAACTGAGCCATATAGATTTGCAAAAGTTCAGGACATGTTCAGAGCATGTTGACATTGTCATTGCATCAAATTTGGGGTGCCACAAAAATGCATAGTCAATCAGTTGTTGGGTGCAAAGAGGGAAATATTTTGCTTATAGTGATATTATAGCATGCAAATGTCATGCATTTTCCGTCATATTTTGCTTTGCTCATAAACAAATATATGCCTATTCATCCCCTTCCTATACTGGGTCTATCAACCCAAGCAGTGATACAATTATCAAGCTGACACCATACATGCCTGAATCATTACTTTTCAGCATGACATTTAAGGGCCACCACTCATATATTTGACCTGATAAAGCCCATACCTTCAAAAACCTCATACATGAGTAAAGAGGACTATTATCCAAATAGAAGCTAGTCCCCTTAGATCTTGCCTTTAGCATGCCTCACAATAAAAAAGATTGATATCCTACTTTTTGGATTTAATCTAAGCCTTTTTGATAAATGGAATTCTGGGATCAGAGCTTAGGCAAATCAGTGCTCTTGTATGAACTATGAAGTCTTTCTCTACCATCTGATCTGGCAAAACTTTGGCATGCTGCAATGGTCTACATGGGTGACCCTGCTCCCTTACTTCATCTCACCACTTAACAGCTGCACCACCACCATCAGCAGCACATACCATGTGGTTGCAGCACTTGGAGCCTCATCTTTCTATGTGCATATTGAGGGGCATGCACTCTGAACAACTGAACCAAGGACATGGGTGTAGCCCTTTTCCTGAGACTGGAAGGCACAAATCAGGATTAGAGGGTTCAACCTGGAATCCAAGAGGTAGGTTCACTACAGCTGAATATTCAGATTTTATCTGGATTAACAAAGCATAAAAAGTATACTGTACAGGTAAAGCCATAAGGGGCAAAAAACATAACTTTTTTGTTAGGGGGAAGGATGTTTGTTAACCTCCCCCACCGCCCCACACTCGTTACAGTGGTCACAATCCCAGCCCAGTCTGTAAAAATTCATCCCCTGTTCATGATACTATCTGCATGACATTGGTTGATTGAACCTCTTCATTATAAGTCAAATTCAATGTTCAGGCCAGGTATTTTTTGGTCCAATTTTTACTACTTCTGTTGGAAAAGGTTCATAGTTTTTCTTGACATTATCTTGTTAGAAACATCAGTATTTCAACCATTGGCATTATACTCACAAACTAATAATACACATAATCTACTTACAATAAGATGGATTTTTTATGGATTCTAGCACAGACCACAGGGGCTAAAATAACCATCACAAATCAGATGGGCCAGTTCCTTCAGTGACCTGACATATATTCATTGATGCATAACTCATGAACAGTTGCGGAAACTGCTAGCTGAAATAAAATTACATCCAACTTCTCCACGTAATTACATGTGGGACAGAGATTCAGAATGCACAACAAGACGGCGGCTACAGCTAATCCCATTTCAGAGACCTAACTGCTCTTCCCACTTACCAACTGGATACTCCACGTGAGTCAAGGCAAATTCGTGCCACTCCCGGACACCCTCCGACATGACTGGCCGATTGAAATGGTTACAGCAGGAATAAAGAACGTAGACTTATCATTGCGCGCAGCGAACAGCCTTCCACATTGCTTATAATCACCCTCGCATTGGCCCTCTCTGCGGTTTTCCCAGGCTAGCCCTAATAACAATGATTCCCAAGATATCCACAAACATGCGCCACGACGCTCCACAGCGCGATATTTGTCATGACTCTCAGCCAGTGACGCTACCCCTTTCTCCTGTTCTACTGCCAAATGTCTCATTCACTGCACTGATATTCAACCATCTGGGTCGCGTGGGAGCACCCCAAGAAATGACAGGAATCTGCTTTTGAATTGCCAGGAAACCACAAACACCTTTTATCTTTGAGAGAACGAAATTCCTGCATCATCAATGTCACTCCCTGTTTTAATTATCCTGCCCAAGCGGGACAGAATGCGGCAGGTATTACGTATTTTGCGGCAGTCAGTCGCACGTTGCCATTGTCACTGTATTAACAGCTACAAACCTCTACAAGTAGCCCTCTGGACCCCACTAAAATGGAATATTTATAGTTTACAGTCTTGAAACACTACATCCGCCACGTTACTTGAGTTGGTTGGAGCTCCTGTATTTCGATTCATCCAACCCCGGCAGGGTGGATTTGTGTCGCTTGAGTCGCAATTTATCCCTGTTCGGAATGAGCATCGAGGTACGTTGCGGCACCAAATTTGAAAATGAAGTGGCCGAAACTCGATGGGAACAAATGGCAAAGAGGACTGTCAGGTCATTTTTCATTCCTCCCCCCCCCCCCTTCAACCCAAGTATGAGGTCGAACCCGTGTCCCTAGGTGCGGCTTACTCTTGGCACCGCCTGGACGAAGTCCTTAGTGCGGCACTTTTAACATATCATTTCATTACAAACGCTTAGCATAAACTGTACTCTCGAATTAGCTGCTTAAACTCAGAGCAATATAAGGACCCTATATATTTTTTTCTACTAGGGGCGCGAGGGTTAATTAATGTTCTGCACATGCAATCCACATTGTACATACCTGGCCACTTGATACCACCATTCTGGCGCCAAGTCTGTGCATTGTATATATTTGGCTCCAAAAGGTAGGAGGTAGTCAACTCACCACTTGGGAAGGGGGCAAACTTGCCGTTTGGGGAGGGGAAATTGAACATTAGGAAAGGGGCAGTGACCCACCAATAAACAATAAAATTCGACGCCCATTCCTCCCAGCACGCAGACACACGTGAAGAGGAAGAGGGGAGGGGACGGAGCAACGATCACCGACCGATTTCCGTCGAGATTGCCTGCGACTCACTCCATAACGCTGCACGAAAAACTGGCCTACAGATAGAGTTAGTTCCCCCATGACCAACATGCATCCCTGGCGGCCAGCACGTCGAATACCCGGCTCCCGTCAGACATCTCTCCCGTAAGGCAAAGGTCGTGCCGGCCAAGAAATCTTATGGATGATGCTGAATGCATTCAGAAAGTCATGTCAATATATATATATATATATATATATATATGACCTAGTATTTATCGGAAATGATGCAGCTCCATGCGTAACTTATCTTTAGGCAGGTATGTACTATGCCACAGGTAGGTACTTCACCGCATGATTCTTGTGTGCGTATAATCTGGAGTAACTTATGACTTGGTGCATGTCTCACCAAAACTCCAAGCTTCAAAACCTAACCAAATGGGCGCAAATACCTACCTCTAACTTTTTGACCGAGTAAGAAATGTACCATTGGTAGGAGCGTAAGGGGGGTATTCCACCTTGTTGCACTTTTTACTTATTGTTGCACGAGACGCGCAAAATTTGATAAAATATAGCTTTCTCCAAATCCTTCCGATTAGATCAGAATTTCTATTTGGAGTAGCCAACCGTAGGCGAGAAATCACGCTTGACTCCATGTTCACCACTATGAAAGCCATACACCTGATTTGCCCTGCTTTTTCCAGAGTGTGCGTTCTGTAACTTGTTTGCAAAACACTAATGTGTCAAAATATTTCAGCACTAAATGCTACAAAAGCTTGAAACACCGAGGCTTCTTTTGACTTTTGGAATGGGATTGTCACGTAATCCATGTCACGCATTGGTTCAAACTTCAACCAACCAACTTCTCGGTAACAAGTCCCTGCCCGCCGGACCAATCACGAACGTTTTTTATTCGCACCACAGGGGGCGCTGGCGGAGTTTGCCATAACGACAACGTGGTCTGGGCTGCAGGAAAGAAGCACAATGCTGTTACAAAGTGCTGATAGTGCAAATTAGAGACGAAAATTACCAAAATCAATATCCCTATGATGTCTTTATGGTGCTGCAGTGGTACTACCCAGCGCTATTATTAAACGTAGCTAGTCCTGAGGTTTCACTAGAGTATGTTTTTGAAGTAAGCCCCAAAGGTAAGACACTCTCACATTAAGGCAAATCTCAATTTCGATTGAAAAATTCGAACACATTTGAATATTGCTTTGCTATGCTACAATTAATGCTACACATGCTTCTGAAACTTTATTTGCCCGAACCATGTCAGGTTAGTGACCTGATGCACTTGTCTGGCCAACAGATGAATGAAACTGATGTATTCCGGCAATACATTGTAACGTGGTTTTCCAGTAGCTTCCATGGTGTGTCCACCCTGCGATGTCACTCCATGACCTTCCAATGGCCTGTTGTGATCATCATAGATCACTGACGCAGCTTGACCTTAGCTCTAGCCGTTAGGAATGTCCATTCGGATCGACGCAAAAGCGCTCATTGACGCTACAAAATTCGTTGTCACCGAGGCTGGCATGGATGAGCACCTCCTTTGGAAGATCAAGCATATCGTTCGAAAATCAAAATTTCGCGTACGCATAGCTCGGAATAACGAAAATAAGCTATAAAAGTCTCTGGTGAAATCTTCTATCTCGAAGCCCTAGTGCTCGAGAGTAACAGGCGTTATTTATGCAAATGAATTCTAGAACAAAAAGTCGAAAATCCCACTTTGCAAATTCCTTTTTGTCGACTGCCGAATGGCGATTGCAGAATGGTGGCATGTAAAAAGCTGACATGCCCATTTGGTGAACGGCTAAAAGGCGAACTGCAAAATTGCGACCCAGCAAAGCATCGATATGCGTTGCTGGCGAACCGAAAAGCGGAGAAATACAACCAGAACATATTTGAATGTGGCGCCGGTGAACGGTGGCATGAAAAATGTAAACGAGTCAAAATGTTGGCTGGCTGCATGGGCGTATCGTGGCGTAACGTGGCGGGGCGGGGCGTGATGTAATACGGCGGGTGGGTTGGGGGCGGGCGGAGGGGCCCTAGTAGCGTGGCGTGGTGTTGCATAGCGTGGCGTGGCGTGGCATGGCGTGGCGTGCCATGGCGTAGCGTGGCGTGGCGTGGCGTGGCGTGGCGTAGCGTGGCGGGGCGTGGCGTGGCGGGGCGGGTATTGCCGTGGCGTGGCGTAGCGTGGCAGGTCATGGCATGGCGCGGCGTGGCGTGGTGGGTATCGGCGTGGTGTGACACTTATTAGCGTGTCTTTGTCAGACCTGACTCTTGAGCAGCTTAACCACATTTAAAGAGAATGTTCCGCATTCGAAGATATCTAAGCAAGCATCAGATGCGCTGAAATAAACTTCCTTTTAATTATTGGTACGGAGGGAGACAATATTGGCCGACAAAACCTGTTGAAAGGCCCCATTCTCCGAGCCTATGCCACCGATCGACATGAAACCTTCGCCATTTGATGCCGCTTGGTCGATAACCTATGCTTCTCCAAACATGACGACCTTGGGTCAGGTCAACGGTCACCAAAAACACCAAAAACCGTAAAATAGGTTTGCAGACAACCCCATGTTCCGCGCCTATGGGACCGATCAGTATGCAATCTTTGCCAAGCGATGCACTATCCTTTACAAAACGTGGTGATCTTGTGTTAGGTCAAAGGTCACTAAAAACGCCAAAAATCACCAAACTTGGATGCAAACGACCCCATGCTCCGAGCCTATGGCAATCATCAGCATGAAACCTTCACCGATCGATGCGCCATGATAGATATCTTACCCGTCCCAAAATATGGTGACATCTGGTCAGGTCAAAGGTATGTGACTTTTGGTCAGGTCAAAGGTCGCCAGAAACGGCCGAAACCATCTGAAATTAGCTGGCGGACAACCCTATGCTCCGAGTCTATGGGACCGATCAGCACCAAATCTTTACCGACCGATGTGCTATAGTCGATAATCTATCGTCTCAGAACATGGTAGCCTGGAGTTGGGTCACATGCCACCAAATACGGCCAAAACCACTTCATATTAGTTTGCAGATAACCCCGTGCTTCCAGCCTATGGGATCCATCGGCATTTTCATATTCGCTCGGCATTATCGGTGTGCCATAGCCGATGACCTATCCTTTCCGGAACGTTGTGACCTGGGGTTGGTTAAAAGGTCGCCAGAAACGTCAAAAACACTCTGAAATTAGTCTGCAAACAACCCCACGCCGCGAGCTTATGGCACCAAACCTTTACCAATCGAAGGGCCATAGTCGATGACCTGTTCTTTTCAGGACATGGTGGCCTTGAGTTGAGTCAAATGTCACAAAAACGGCCAAAACCAGCTGGAATTAGTTGGCAGAAAGACCCTGAAAAACGCTGCGAGCCCGTGGGACCAATCAGTAGGAAACCTTTGGGAAACGATGTGTCGATATCCTTTCCTCTCCAGAACCAATTGGTCTCATAAGCCCGGGGCATACGTTTGTCAGCTGCCAATTTTGGTTGTTTTGGGCGTTTTTGGTGACCTTTGACTTAAGTAAGGGTCATAGTGTTCTGGAAAAGTCAGGATATTGCCTTTAGTGCATTTATCGTAGAAGGTTTAAAGCTCATCAGTCCCATAGGCTCGGAGCACGGGGTTGTGTACAACCCAACTGATCCGTTTTTGGATTTTTAGTGACCTCTAACCTGACCCAAAATCACCATGTTCTGGAGACCATAGAATATCGGCGATGGCGCATCGATCGGGGGAGGTTTCGTGCTGATCAGTGTCACAGACTCGGAGCATGGCGTTGTCTGGAAACCTTTTTTTCCGGTTTTGTATTTTGTTGATCCTTGACTTGACCCTAGGGCACCATGTTCTGAAAGGATAACATATCGACTATTGCACATCGATCGATGAATGTTTCATGCTGAGCAGTGTCATAGGCTCGGAGCTTGGGGATGGCTGCGAGCAAATTTTAGGTGGCTTTGACCGTTTTTGGTGACCTTTTGTCGAACCCAAGGTTACCATTTCTGGAACGGATAGGTTATGAACTATGGCATATCGATTAGTAAAGTCTTTGTGCCGATCGGCCCTGTAGACTCGAAGCGAGATGTTGTCTGCAAACTAAGTTCAGGTGGCTTTGGCTGTTTTTGGTTACCTTTGACCTTACTTCAGGTCACCACGTTCTGGAAAGGATAAAATATCTGTTATTGCGCTTCTATTGGGGAAGGTTCCTTGGTGATCATTCGCGTAGACTCGGAGCGCGGGGTTGTCTCCAACACTATTTTTCAGGTTTTGGTATTCTTGCTTACATTTGTCCCGACCCAAGGTCACCATGTTCTGGAAAGGTTAGATTAAGCGGTATCCAATGGCGAAGGTGTTACGTTGATCAGTGCCATAGGCGCGGACCATGGGGCTATCAGCGGGTTTGGTCCGCCGTTTAGTCCCTTCCCTATTGGTATCCATTTGAGTGGAAAAAGCTGCTCTGGACAGCACAATTTGGCCGCCTAGTTAACATGCTTATTAATGCATCATTGTTTGACTACGTCACTGTACCTCGCACAACATTGATTGAGAGCCCATTGACAGCTGCAATGACTGGAAATCGTGCTCATGAACCCCAGATATCAACGACTCGACAGCCACACTTTCCTTGACCTTGTCGGTGCGCGACTAATGGAATGGTAGGACTTGAATGGCGTTCCAAAACCTGGATGACCTTGAAATAGACTCCCCAAAATAGTCTGCACGTCTTTGCGAGCGTGAAGCTCAGAAGCTAATGGACTCAAAGTCTTAAGAATGGCAGGGATGTGATGTGAACTGCACCGAATGCTCTTCAAAGGGGCATCTCCATATAACTGTGGACCACTCCCTTGAAGTATTCGCCAGTTTGGTGCGCCGACCTTTCTACATGTCACCATTTTGCAGTTTGCGATTTTGCCCTTCGCCATTTTGGCATTTTGACATATGGACCTTATGGTTTGTGGCCATTTTGAATTCGCCATCCAGCATTTCGCCATTTCGACATGTCGCTATTCTGTGTGCCACCATTTTACCGTTCGAGATTTTGTCGATTGGATTTTGAGCATGTCGATATTTTACATGCCGCCAACATGGAAATCAGCATATAGCAGTCGAAAAAGTCATTCGGCAAACTACGAGTCGACTTTTTGTCTAGGCACCACGCAAGTCTAGGTTTGAGGGAGTTTGCTTGGAAAAAAATGTGGCTTTCGAAATTGAGTGTAAGCTGGGCGAGAAGCATGGCGGGCATAGTCTACGTCGGGGAGTCCATGCGGCTTAAATATAATGAACACATGTAATAGGCTAAAAAGCAGAGAAGATCCCTTTTGGAGACCATTTTTGGGCAAAATACACTCAGGCTGAAATCCAGGGGAGTACGGACCACGTACCCCTTTTAGAGCTCAAAATCATCTACAGAACACAGGACCACCCCGACAGCAAAAATGTGAATTCATTCTTATCAGAAGTCGGCGGCCAAACCTTAATGTACATGGCTCATCATGGCTGATTATGCGGATGTGATTAATACCTTGATGTTGGATGAGTACTAGCTTAAATCATGTATGCTGTCGTGTTAAATCATTTACATGCATGAGTGATGCCTGACCCGCGATGCGCGACGCCTGTTTGATTGAAATCGTTTGCATGTATAAGTGTTGCGTGGCGCGTGCCTGTTAACTTGAGTTGCTTGCATGTATGAATGACACGTGATCCGTGATGTCTATCTACTTGAATTTGTTTGCATGTACCAGTATTTGTTCGCGTACTTCAATTTTTAGTTGCATGTACACTGTATCGTAGTGATGGTTGGCAATTGCTTCTTGTCGAAACCCTTGAATGTTGGTGGCGTGTGACACTGTGTCTCGCTGTTTCAACAAAACCTGAAAAATCGGGTAGGATCGATAGGCAGTTCTGAGTTTACTACTGATAGTCGTGTTTGATGAAGGCATGCAGCTGAAATATCAATGCATCTATCAATCCATTGTTCCGGCAATTTTACGAAAAATAAGGCTATTAGTGCTGCATTGATTATACGTATACTGTTACCCGCAAATGCGCTTGATAACTTACGTACTTTAGGCGTTATCATGAAGTGATGTGTATCATTTACAGGAGTTGCGTCGTTTTGATGATTGCGCTTAGGGTGAACGACAATATTTCGCACACCGCCGCTGTTGGCGAGGCACGCAAATTCTGTACGAGAGGTCCTGCCAGAGGCCCTTTTTCTCTGTGGCAAAAGCCTGATTCTTATTCGTCGAGGTAAGTTTATGCACCACCCGTCCGGCTGCCACGCTCCCCGTTTGTCCGTATCCAAGGCAGCGGAACGTCCGGACCAATGACCGGCGTTTAGCCACTTGACGTCACCGTCCGCCCGCGGCTCGGGACCGTGCGGCGCAGCGTAGATGTGCAGGCGGCGCCAGGCGGTGGCGAGTCGGCTGCTGTTGGCCCCGGTCGTCGTCCGCCGCCGGCATGGCACACCCCCTGCCGCTTCTTGGTAAGTGGAGCGTCGGCAAACGGACCCAGAGCGAAAGCTGAGGCCTAGATCGAACCCGAGCGCTCTACCAGGCATTATTCAGTCGAAATTACATTGTTTGTCGATGTTTGTTTTTGAACACACTCAGGGTGGGAAGTGAAAAGGGTAAATAATAGCTGATTTGTGGATTGCCCTTTTTCGATACATGCTGAATGGTCTGCATCGGTGTCTTCGAGGTTACAGCACCCCCCAAGCAAGGTAGTCTGCGTGCATGCCTTACTCACCACCCAAGTTTTGCCGCCGCCCTGATCACCGGATGATTTGGTCCCGACCTTTCTCCAGACAGGACTGCAGAAGTTTTCGCGTGTTGACGATGCTGTAGCTACAACATTTTACACACATTTTGCACGCGTGAAGCAAATTGAGCGATATTGCGCGGTTATTCCAGGTGCTTGAAGCATATAAGCTGAGTGTAAAATAAAGGTGTCAAAGACGTCTAAACGTCGCATTCGGTATAGGGCGGTCCAAATTACGAATAAAATGCAATGCTTCTTAAAGAAATAGTATACTGTGATATTGTTGAAATGCGTTCGACGGGCAGCGCTGAGCGTAAGTATTAAGCTACGTTCACCTACTAAAAGTGTTTCCTGAACAGCAATGAAAGCGACCTGTATGTTCCAGAACATCATCATGTTTATGGATATACACATATTTTTCAAACTTCGAGCACACCTGTATGGATTAAGGTTTCAGACTGCCCCTTTTTATTGGTTAAGCCTTCTATTTCTGACCAGTTTCGAAAATGCCTGGCAAACCTAAAAGTTGGATAAGGTGTGCCCTCCTTACGAGCCGTGCCATTGAACAAATGATAATGCAATGCGTCTGGATAGGTAACAGTAGCCCAACCCTCATACAAGTTGGATAAGGCGCGCCCCCCGTACGAGCCGTGGCAGTGAACAAATGATAATGCAATGCGTCCGGATAGGTAACAGCAGCCTAACCCTCATAAAAGTTGGATAAGGTGCGCTCCCCCCCCCCCCCCCGTCTTACGAGCCGTGCCATTGAACAAATGATAATGCAATGCGTCCGGATAGGTAGCAGCAGCCTAACTCTCATAAAAGGTACCTATATACGACGACATATTGGCTTATCCTGATGAATTTTTTTGCAACTACGTTGCGATTAGTGTGTGCGAGAACTTAGTGAGCTTTCCAACTACAGCAAAAACTTGACTTCGACTGTCAAAATATGAGCGCCGACATGATGTGGAGCCAACCTGAAATTTTTTGGGGGCGGAATTTTTCGTGGACGGGTGGTGTAAAGTCATATCTTGCGAATCATGGGCTGTTTCCGAGCGAACATGCCGTCCACCATGCTTTGAGGCATCCCCAGCATACCCGGCCAAGGTCTGGCCCATTCTATTCATACCATGGTTCATTACGTCACGAATTACAACATGTAAAACGCCAGCAGCGGATCGAGGAACAGCAGAGGAGGACTCACAGTATTCCTTTGTCCACGTAAGCCAGGCTAAACAAGTTAAGGAAACCGGAGGAAAAGGAAAGGAAATCTGAACTTACTTGTCGAGATTACCGAAAGCTATCCATAATTATATGCGTGCAAGCAACACACAGTGCAAACACATATATCAAAATTGCATGCACCAAGCCGGCACCATGCGCTTGTATTGAGGAGGTGGGTGGAGTGGGGAGAGGAGGGCAACAGGAATCACCGTTTAGCAACGCAGGGAATGTTTTCATCTTTTTTGGTCAGTTGTATCATGTTCATCTACATTTGTAATTTTTCAACAATTTAAGAGGCGTACGCAAAGAAGGTAAGGTGAATCTTTAAAATAATTTAGTGCAGCTCGCAGCCTTGCCCTTCTTGAGACCTATGCCCTTCTAGTTTCTGGGCTACATGCCCGCGAAGATGTGCAGACTTTTTGAGGGGATATTCCAAGGTCACCCAAGCATTAATACCACCCTAATAACGCTATTCGAATCTTGCCTTTTCATTGACCGTGCGACGATCACAGCGAAGCAAACTATAATTGCAGAGTTGTTCATATCTGACGTTCGTTAGCACGATTTCCAGATATCACTGCCGTCTAGTGGCAAACGATGTTGCGCAAGGTGCGGTGACGCACTCAGACAATGCCGCATTGAGAAGCATGTTTACTAAACGGAGAAACTGTGTTGTCTAGAGTAGTCTTTTCCACTGAAAAGTGTAGCAACGGCTATGGGTGAAGCCATTTCATCATATCTGATGCTTGCTTCAGTATCTTCAGATGTGAAACATTCCCTTTTACAGGGACAAAGTCAGGTAAGATGGGAGCGGACTTCGTGCCGTCGCTCCGGTAACTGAGTTGTGCACACCGGACACTACGTTTCAACATGAGACACTGAATGACAGTCAAATTTGCCCCGTTCTTAGCATTCTACGTCCCTCACTGCCAAACGCCGCTGAACGAGATGCTCTGACATTTTTGTTGGCTTTCAAACCAGATCATCAATGCTCGTAGCCTTCTAGCATGCAAATGATAATAAAGGCCTGAGCAGAAAGCACTGAATGAATGCTTGAATCCGTTGTTTAGGTAGCGTATGGCTTGGATCCATTAAACATGCCAGTGGGTATCGGCAAAAATGCAGTATGCATCAAGGGTGAATTCACACTCCTGTGGTCATTATGAAGTCAATATCAAAAGCAAATATCGACAAATTTTGTTTCGAGTAGATTTTCAAAGGCATGGTCAGGTCGCACCCCCGCAAAAAATCGAAGCGACATTCAACACATGGTGTTACCACGGTTAAATCACATAAAGGGTTTTGACACTTGTGTTACATTTCAAACGCTCGTCTTCGGTCAAATCACAATAAAACACTCCGATTTGAAAAATTATATGCATGATTATAAAAGGAAAAAGAACTATAAGCCACATAGCGTATATGAAAAGGAACCAAAAATAGGACAAACTGTTTACCTTAACGGCTTCATCCTCGTAAATCGTTTTAAATAAAAACCTTTCACAAACTAGCAACTTCCTAAAACACGTGTTTTTGGACGTACAGACCAGTCTCAACGGAAAACAGTTTTGGCCCTGCACAACGTACATAAGCGACACGATGACATATGGCATGTGATGAATACACACGACGGCATGTGATGAATACAAGCGATTGACCTCCAAACGAACATAACATAAAGGGTGGAAACGAGCATGGCGGGGGAGGCATAGGCCGCCGCGATGAAACACATCGGTTCAGGTCTGGTTTGTTGAAACGAGCGGCCATTGCTTCGGCTACTTTTATGGATCTAGACAACAGTTGACCTCTGTAAATAAGAGCTCAGAAACATCACGGTATCAGCATGGCTGACTAAAACTGTGACAGTTTTCAAGAGATCTCCAGTCAAAATCCTCACACCTCGCATGGCTCGTGATTGCGATGAGAATCTACCAACTACAAATACGCTCAGAGCAAGCCCAAGCATGGCTCGTGATTGCGATGACAAGCTACCAACTACAAATACGCTCAGAGCAAGGTTTGCAGGCTCGCTTGCAATGTAGATATTGTCAGAAGCTTTCTTAGACAAAATGTTTATTTTTTTCTGGGGGTGTCCTTGCCATATTACGCTAATGCACTACAAGCCACGAGAAAAGCGTGCAGTGCATTGCTACTGCACCATCGACTACATATAGACAAAGGATAAATCACTTCCGTTTTCAAATTCACCAATTATTTGCTGTTGCTGCTGGCTGACAAATTCATCATCACTCGACAACTGGGGATATTCTGAGGTATACAGTACATAATCGAACATTCCCGCGAACACAGGCCACTATCGTATGACAGTTGTCAATCGTATGGGCTATCCTAACCCCTGTGTAGGAGTCATCTTATGCTACCTCCGAACCTATGCTAACTGTCTATGTTTTCTCAGCCCTCTACACAGCGTCTGTTTTAGTGTGCCTGAATTACCTCCCCACGCTATCCCGCTCACGCCTGGCGTTGCCGCAGTGGCCGCGCTCATCGCCTCGGTGGCAGCGCAGGAGTTCTACCCTGGGGACGCCTGCTTCAACATGAACCGGTGCGACAACCTGCCCTTGCAGTTCGACCGGTCGGGAGTGTACGTCCTGTCGACGGACCAGGGCTCAATATCGGTGAGGGGCCGACCGCCGGCGTTTCAGGGCAAGGCTGTCTTGGGTCAGCCCTGCCCTGCTGGCCTCGCAGCGCCAACGGAGGCAGCGTGGATTAGTATGTTTTGAACTTGGTCATTGCGGCTCGTTTAGCAGTTGTTGATGGTCCCTGGAGCATTGCCGGACTACACGGATTGGTCGCGTGCAAACATTTGTTGCCAAGGAAACCATACGCGCGCTACATTCGTGCTTTTCTGTTGCCGCACCGAATCACCACGACAGTTGGTTGCAATGGAGTGCATTGCGTCTCGTCTGTCCGGCACCATCGAATAGCTCCTATTCACTACATTCCGCCTGGCATGGATTCATTGAGTCGGGTAGGCGGCAAACGCGCAGTACGGTACACAATTGCCGAGGCAGCGGCTTTGCCTTCGCGGCCGCAATTCTACACCACGTGAATGGGACCCAGTCCCCTTCCTGTGCTGCGCCGCGCCCTCCTCGACTCATATTACAGGACATATTGCATGACGAAAACAATATTGGTACCATCTGCTGATCTTATCCAAAGAAGTAGCATATGGCTGATTTGCAAGCTGAAAATGACTGCAGTTGTGGCTTTAGCAGTTGGCATTAACTCCCAACGGAGCACGACACCTATTCCCGATGGCTGATAAGCGTGTTGCATGCTAGTTAAGCAATGCTTTCACGTGGGGCCTTCTATGCCAAAGGGATCAAAAGCGGGTATTTTTCAGGTCCGATTCCTTTAGGTTTTGATCAGACATGACAGAGATTGGCTTTCGCATGAAAGGAAACACCCATTTGTGGTTCCAGGTGACCTCTGAGGTCAGGGTCAGAGACCACGCACGAAAGACATGCTGTGTGGCGTGGATTTGACCTTTAACCTGACAGATCTAAATTAAGCATTAAGATGAATACTCGGTAGCTTTTTGTGTTACAATTTTACACACCAAGACGTCTGGTATTTGCAGCATGAAAGCAAAAGTGTTCGGGTAAACGAGAACTTCCAGAAAATTAATCATTTTATGCCGCCTTGCTTTGCCTCTGCATTTTTTCTTCGACTTGCTGCATATTTCTATTTTCATAGCTCAGCTATTCTCATCTGGTTGGGTGGAAAACCATCCTGCTGTAATTCGCCAAAATCTTTGGTTTATTTTCCGCGACCTATCGCATGAATCAACGCCGGTGGGGTTTAGTTATATCTGGCTGAGCTAGCTTTCGATGTGCAAGAACAAAATCATTTCGAGTCCAACCATGGTCAACAACACCGCGATGGCGTCGAAGAACTCAGCCACGGTCATCGGGGGCCGGATTAACGCTGACCACTTATGGCGTTGAGCAGGAATGATCTTGACTCTAAGGGGTCAAAGTGTAATTTTCCCATGGCTTTATAGACGATCTGATCGAATTTCATACCGTTTCGAAGGGCCTATCTTTAAGGACATTGACCACGTATGACCATGAGCATGACTGCTCTTGACCCTGGATGGTTGAAGTGTCCATAGCTTAATGAACAGTGTGATCGAATTGCGTATTGTCGATTAGGACCTATTATTTCTTGATGATTACTATTAATAAAATGGTGCTGCTTTCAATGGTGATTGGGTGATGAATCACTATCTTTCTTTGAACGGCTGCCTATCAGAAGACTGTTGTTCATCGGTATGTGACGTTCTTGAGTGGGATCGACATGAACAGCTGCCTATTAGAAGACTGTTGTGCATCGGCATGTGACGTTCTTGAGTGTAGTCGACATGCGACGGACTGTGGTTGTTGTTTGCCCCGCATTCGTGTAGCTACAACACAAAGTCGTACGACTTACAAACCAGGATCAAAAGCAAGGCGTGATGGAGATGTCCAGCCCATGTGGGACCTGGTTCTCGGCTCGAAGACACTACCAGAGAGCACTTCAACTGTAACCTTGAACCCTAAGACAGCTCAATCCCATTCGTCTTGCATCTTGTATCTGACAGCCGGATCCATCTTGTCTCTGACGCTCCAGTCTTTCACAAGTTCAACATCATTAACTTCATCGGGACATTGCTAACCCAATATTTGTCGATGCTCGAACTCCAAATGGGTCTTACGCGCCATGCGTTACTTCGGAAAGACCGTTCAGCGAGTGTGACTTCATCACACTGGTTGCCGTAAAATCCCATTAGCGCGCGAGCACCATTAGACCAAATCAGATCACCACCAGATATAAGCACCAATAAAATACGATTGGTGCCTCGCGCACCAATCGCACCAATCACTCACCAATCGGATTTCACAGCAACACGCACATACACATTCACAAAGCAATATATCAACGCAGCGACCTTGAAGCCAGCTGCGAGCATTTGACAGCTCAAGTTGTTGTGTTGCAGGCAGACTCGAAAGTCGCCGCAGATCGTTCGACAAACAATGAATCGCATTGACTTGGTGTTTAAGCGCGTGAGTGTACGCTTGCTTCTGCGATGATCATTATTGGTAGATTGCGGTGACTTGAACTTGCGGTGCTCGAAACGGTCGACTAACGGCCAGCCTGGTGCTGTTAAGCATTTGTCCACCCAAAGACCCAAGCGTGGACTGTTTCTTGCGTTTGTGAACATCCGGATCTGGATTTGACATGTTCTGACTTCGAGAGCTGGCAAGCAGGATTTGTTCTCGGGGTAATGCTTGCCGACATGTTTGGATGTACTTCTCACTGCAATAGCGCGTGAATCTTGAATCGTCAGCAGGCCTGTGTGTGAGGTCCGCTCGAACAAGCGGGCCATGATGGTCTGCGGACTGTGCTGGTTCATAGATAAAAAGAGAGTAACGCTACGCTACCTAACACGCTTTATTACGAGGCATCATTATTTTAACTATATTATGTTATTATATATATATATATAAACATATATAATATATACAACTATATTATATTCACGAGGTAGCGTTACCGTTACGCTAGTAACGGTAACGCTACCTCAACATGGCTTCGTGATTATAAAGTCATGTACAACAAATCTATGCGAGTTCATATGTCATGCGACTTCGGCTTCGCTGTCTAAATCGCAAATGGATGTCTCCTCCACAAGCTTCGGCACGGCACGACTAGGATCGACGTTATTTCTGAATGCACTTTTTCTAACGCATTTCATTCAACCCACCCAAGTCATTTTGGTGTAATTGAGCGATGATTCTGCAAAAGACTTTTGGATCACTTTGCAAGGCAGACTGCACCGTGTGCGTCCATACCGGCGCTGCGCAGTTTTTTCTCGCTTACGTAAAGACAATCTGCGTTTTGCTGTCGACGGCATTTTGAGCTTTTCGACACACATTGGTTTTGCTGTCAAGCGTAGCAACCGTTCCTTAAGTTGCTCATTTCAAGGATGTAGGAGGCGGGCTGTAAGCAAAGAAACATCCACTGTATCTTACCTTACAAACGCACGCCCAGCCTGGGCATTGGCAGTGCGGTCTGAAAAGGAGCGGCTGTCAAACACGTAGCACAACTTGAGCGAATTCGGCACAAGCTTTCCGGGGCCGGATGTGATCGTTTCAGCATGTCTGTTTTCAACCAATAAGCTGTGCCCGTCACATGTCAGGAAGTTCGCCACACGACGTGCGGCGCCTGTGGTGAGCTGTTTTCCCAACTGCGTTTTCTAGTCAGGGCGATTCAAAGTTCAGATCTTTTATCGTTGCTGCTGTGCATGATCACAGACACAATGGCAAACTCGTCTCATTTCAGTCGCACGTTCAATAATTTTATTTTTTGCATTTTTAACCATCATTTTATATCTTTCATGACAATAAATGCACCATACCTTGTCCTTTTGCGCCTGTTATAGATGGTTCTTATATCTCGCTTTTTAGCGTGACACGTCTGCCATTCTGACAGCCACCGAATGACTGAAATCCACCGCATTCAAAATTGTATGGTCCACGTTCAGAGTACTAAATATATGAAATGGAACGTGTTGCATGGTAAGAAGAAACATCTTTTCGTTGTTGTATCGATTCGGTTAACAGTTATGTTCAGCTCGCGCAGCTCGGGTTTTAAATTTCGTGTCCACAAAGTTAACCAAAGTGACCTTGAATGCCAGTGGCCTGTGCCTGTCATGGGTAGCGATTACCTACTGGTTCTGCGGTGTCATTTATTACGCCCCCATTTGTGAGGGTTGGTAGGAAAGACCCAGAAATAAAAAGCGAAGGAAATTGGAAGGAAGGTAAGATGGAAAGTGATGATGGCGATGGAAATTACAGATTGAAAGGACCAGATGTGCAGATGATTGGGGTGGTTTTATCGGCGTACCTGGGGATGAATGCAGCCGGGATATGAAGGCTGAGGTCGTTGGAAAGCAAAACAAAAAAGATTTATTGTCCTCGAGATGGAGCCCCAAAATATATTGGTAAATAGTTCGAGTGGTCTAAATTTGGGACATGTTGAGGCAGTCGGTAAGGCAAACACTTTAAATGCGACTTTGGTGATAATTTTGAAACCAAGTCGAATCGATGCAGTGTGGCAGCAGTGTTGCAGAAAGCTTTGTATGATATTTTACACTGCACTATGTACTCATATCAATAAGGTAAAGTAGGGAAAGATTCCCCTGGTCTGTTGCTGACAAAATGGCAACACAAGCGTGCGGAAGACCAGTGGAACAAGTCAGGCGGCCGGTGATCGCCCAAGGCAGCAGCCGGCGGGCCTGAGTAGTGGAGAGGTGGTGATCGCCCAGGACAGCAGCCGGTGGGCCCGAGTAGTGGAGAGGTGGTGATCGCCCAGGGCAGCAGCCAGTGGGCCCGAGTAGTGGAGAGGTGGTGATCGCTTAGGGTAGCAGCCGGCGGGCCCGAGTAGTGGAGAGGTAGTGATTGCCCAGGGCAGCAGCCAGTGGGCCCGAGTAGTGGAGAGGTGGTGATCGCTTAGGGTAGCAGCCGGCGGGCCCGAGTAGTGGAGAGGTGGTGATTGCCCAGGACAGTAGAGGAGAGGTCAGCCCAAAAGCACCCTCACGGTACTCCCAGTCTCGCAGGCGCTCGCTTCAAGGAAGGACGGTCTTTGCACTGAGAATTGCAGTCAAATTGACACGAAAACGCCGTTGTCACTCCAAAATGGCACCCCAAGGTGAGGCGGAGTGGGAAGCAGAGCCGCATATGACGGCGTTTCGCGCGGGTGACGCACGCGGTCGCACCCGGCTGCGTGCGTACTGATGCGGCATATAGATGCGGCCGCCCTTAGCAGTGATCAACGCTTATTCTGATGTCTAGGTATGGTGTGCTCGTGTCTGAGCGGGCCATGACTAGTGCGGTCGCCTTGTCGCCACGGCAACAGGTGCTGGTGCACCGTCTCGCGAAACAACGGCTGTAACAGGCCCGATGAGGAACTTACTAAGCCGCCAAATTCATAACAGAGGTCGGGAAATAAATCCTGTCTATCTTAACAAATATATTGCCTCTGTGGCAACACCACGAACAGCACAAGTCAAAGTGACAGGAGGCCACGGTCAGGCATGCCTTGCGGTGCATGAGCCGCGAATATTGTATCCTAGTCGGAACAGTACTTTCCTCAACGCATTACAATCGACCAAAATGATCAGTCTTATGTGTAATGTCCCATGTGGGATGTATTATTCTCCGACACCTGCTAGCTGACCCATGCGAGCAATCTTTCCAGAAAAAAACGTGCCATTTTTTACTCCTTAACGATTTATTCACGGCGAAGCTCCCGTGACGCTTCGAAATCGTCTCTTGCAAAATTCCGGTGCACCCATTTTTTTTTACATATGTAACCCGGACTACCATAAGCACACCCCGCTGAAGACTGTGGCAAACCACTTCGGCTCTCACAAACAGCACTCTTCACGCAGATGTGGTGACAATTATCGGGTGCTTGGCTTCAGGTATACTGTGACATGGACAAAGGCCGATGGACCAACGTCCTCACCAGGGGCATCGACGGCTCAGGGAACTTAAAAGACCAGCAGAAGTCCTTGGCATCAGCCGACCTGAGCTCCAACGAGATGGAGCTGGGGTTCGGAGAGCCTGCATCGGAGGAACACTTCAGAGGTAAGCTGCGTCATATGGAGCTGGGGTTCGGAGAGCCTGCATCGGAGGAACACTTCAGAGGTAACCTGCGTCATATGGAGCTGGGGTTCGGAGAGCCTGCATCGGAGGAACACTTCTGAGATAAGCTGCGTCATATGGAGCTGGGGTTCGGAGAGCATGCATCGGAGGAACACTTCTGAGGTAAGCTGCGTCATATGGAGCTGGGGTTCGGAGAGCCTGCATCGGAGGAACACTTCAGAGGTAAGCTGCGTCATATGGAGCTGGGGTTCGGAGAGCCTGCATCGGAGGAACACTTCAGAGGTAACCTGCGTCATATGGAGCTGGGGTTCGGAGAGCCTGCATCGGAGGAACACTTCTGAGATAAGCTGCGTCATATGGAGCTGGGGTTCGGAGAGCCTGCATCGGAGGAACACTCCAGAGGTAAGCTGCGTCATATGGAGCTGGGGTTCGGAGAGCCTGCATAGGAGGAACACTTCAGAGGTAACCTGCGTCATATGGAGCTGGGGTTCGGAGAGCCTGCATCGGAGGAACACTTCAGAGGTAAGCTGCGTCATGGCAAAAGAAACGCATGATTACCCAGAAGCTGAGACGATCCCGCTCTCCGCATCGAGCGGAGCTGGGAGCCAGTTCCAGAATGAGAGTGCATCGTGTGGTCCAGGGGCCCATCGAGCTTGACCTATGTCTGTGATCGCACCACTTCATCGTTTTGGCCAAATTTAACTAGTCATCCGATTAGATTAGAATCCGATTAGAAAAGCATTTCCTAGATAAGGCCTCACACCTTATGCGCCTTACCAAGGCACGCATCCAGGTGTCACCCTGTCGGCACGCACCACGCGCTAGGTCGGCCTGGTGTGCACATTCCGTCACCCGGGGGCTGGTTCGGAATGGGGTGCGCTCGGGTGATAGGTTAAACTGACCCCCTGAGTTCTCAAACGGCAATACGTCCGTGAACACCAAACTCATGAGACAGATAGGACTTTATGTTGAATCATCTATTTCACATTTGGAAGCAACTCTGTAATGACCTTTGGGTCAAATAACACCAGACAAGCAAGCTCCAGGTCAGAGTGCGAAATGCCATCGGACCCCCTCACGCAGGCAGCTTTAACCCGGATCCGTCCTGTAGGCAAAATGTCGAGCTTATTTAATCTTTAAAAGGTGAATGTAACCGAAAACTTAAGAGATTATTGGAATAAACACATTTACAGGGACATCAAGTACTACCTTATGCCGCATGCCCCTTAAAGTAAAAGTATGATCGAGACGTTTTTTCGGTCAGTGACGTTCCATGACTCTTATGAAGTCATAACAATAAATGTTTTGACCTTGTGATCCAGGAATTCGAAATCAAATGAGCGTCAAAATTATCCCAAAATGCTAGATTTTTATTAAAAACATGTTAGTTTTGAACTTTGCCTAAACTTCAAACCTGACCTAATGTCAATGGAATCAGCGGTAATCCTTATTCAAAATGTCTAATTCCATAATACTTACCTTTAAGCTGTATGACTTTGCCTTAAGCTTTGTTGTCACATCATATTAAGCAACTCCCCGAGCTGTCTTCGCTGACTGGCACGGCATGACTTTGATCTGATATATGCCAGTGACCTTGCAAGGCATCTAATATTTACCAACACCAAAGCTTTGGCTATTTCCTTCCTTACACCTAAACAAAGTTGGGTTGGCGCGATTGCACCGCAATGTTTGAAAATCATCATGAAAACCCCTGCGAGAGGAATCGACAAGGATTTCATTAATGGCAAGGATAGTGATGGCAAGCATTTATGGAAAGCAGAGGTGTTATCATCTAAACTAAATGCTCTCATCAATGCTCACATGAAATTTAACACCACTCATAAAAAATAACCGTCACAGAACTTTGCCTTCACAGAACTTCTGCATAAATTTTGAAACAAGCCTTGTAATGCCGTTTCCTTGGCAACGTCTTACCATCGCTACACACGTTTGCTGCAATGTCAATGGTTGACTTCCTCATCCCGCACCGTATGAAAAGTTTTGGGCGTCTCAGTTGCAGTCAGCACAAAAGCGGAAGCAAGCACCGGCGTTGCACTAAACAGATTGTCCCAAAAGTATTTTGTTGCTACGAGATCTCTCAACATATGAATCGTATGTCGCTCCTGGTCTGGTGTAGACCTGCATGTGGATTTCTGGCGCATCGGTGTCTTATGCTCTGGGCTTAAGACTGTTTCATTCCTTGGGGTTTCGTGCCTCCAGCTCTGCTGCCGAGGTTGTTGCACCTCCTGCTCCGGTGCCAGGGGTTTCCTGCCTCCTGCTCCGTTACAAGGAGTGTCGTGCGTGCTGCTCCGTTGCCACGGGTATCGTACCTGTTGCTCCGTTACCAGGGGTTTCACGTCCCCTGCCTTTGCCAGGGACGTCGTACCTGATGCAGCGTCTGGAGGAGCAATCTCAGCTGCGCGTGGACCTGGTGGCTGAGGATGGCACCGAGTACTTCAGCGTGTTTAACAATGCGCAGGCCAGACGTCCGACGGAAGACGGCCCCCGCGGGTTCATGTTCGATAATTTAGAGTACGCGTATGGAAATGCCGGTAAGTAAACGCAGTTTGTCTCTGGCACCAAGTGCGGTATGATGTCATGATCAGATATTATCACATTGTGAAAAATTATGTCGGTGTTTATTGAATTGACCAATAACCGCACCGCAATGACACGTGGACACATGAACACCACATTTCCATTGTAAGTTTTGTTCAAAACGAAATTAAAAGCACAAACCACATACGCGAATTAATGGTGCCTTATCTAGCAGTAGAAAGGCATCAGAATATTTATCAAAGTTGCTATGGAATATACACATGATGGATCAGAGGCTCGCAAGAGAAGAAATTTAAGAGACCCCGCGGAATGCAATGTATTGCCTGTGGAGCTACCAGAACTATTTCAATAAATAGGAGCGCTTCTCAGTCCAGCATTGTTTCACGAATACCTAATTTTGTACCAAATCTGGAATGTGCGGAAAATCGAATAAACAGGGAACAATTCATCGTTTATTGTCAGCCCTACCAAAATGGTTAGTATACCTTATTTTGAAGCGCGTTTTGTGTTGTCATCATGTCCCACTTCGTCATTTTTCGTGAGCAATGTTTTGTGCAATCGAACCAATGCAAAAAGTACCGCAAATGCAAAATGGCAAAAAAGCTCATTATGATGAAACAAAAACGCATATGCAATGCAAATTTACGACTATGTTTGCGACTGTTGCGACAAACCGTAGGCTTTGCTTGCGCCCTATCTTTTTTATATTTCAGATTCGACGTCAAATAGAGTCCCTGCCAAATAACCCTAACGCGAAAGGGCTTTTGATTGGGTGGTATACATATTTGTGGTCTTGGAGCTCGTGAATTACCTTGGATTCTTGCGTCAGGCTCTGCTATTGATTATATGCTACCTGATGGTTATGCATGTCACCAAACAGTATTAAAAGCCAATGCAAGCAGATTTGGACCACAAAAAATACAAAACAACATTGTGTAGGTAGAGGCTTGGCTATTCAAAACTCTGCCATTCTGGTCGGGTTGGATCGTACACGATTTTAAGTTTGATTCATTTTAGAAATGATGCAATAGGGAAAAACACCCACGGGTGATATCTCGCCAAGAAGTTATGTGGCCGATAATGGGCGCAAAAAAACGTTTCTTTTGACTCAAGACTTTGACACTCGTGAGAAAGAGTTGAATGTTCAGCCTATCATGGCATGGAGTGCGCGAAGGTGGGTCGTTGCCCAACAGATGACGAACGTCTGTTTGGTACGTGTGCCCAAAACAGCCGACAAAAGTCAACCACTTAAGCACGGGTCTTCCTATTGTTTTATGTTTACCCGCCTACTGCCAGTTTTATCTCTTTAAATCGACTGGAGTCCGCATCCCACCTCCGCTGTTAAACGACACAATAATGTACGAATATCGTACACTTTAAATCAGGATGAGTCATTTTAACCAGAAACGGAGACGTTTCGTTCGCAGCTCGCTCAGCCATGTACCGATGTGACTCGGTATTCACGTCAAGATCACCTCCTTACGACACGCACGTAGTCGAGGTGATCGTAGACGTGCATTTGTTGCAATTGCAAAATCCATGGTGAGAGCTGATTTATAGATAAAAAAGAGCTCATTGAATCTGTTAAGATGAGGGGGCCGGTAGTGTAGTGGGGTTAGCACATCTGCGTTAACCACTGCATGACTGGGAAACGCGAGATGCGGGGTTCGATTCCCCGCAGTGCTCGTCCTTCCTGTCAGGGTGAGAGGCAGATGACGCCGTATCACCTCAGCAGCTGAGTGCGTCGTAAAGCCCCAGTGACTCACTCACTCACGAGTCTGTTAAGATAGGAGAGCACTTACATCCGTGTGTCCTGAAGAATGTCAAAGTCTTGCAAATCGCATACAGTTTGGTAATAAAAACGGTCAAGTCTCTTAGCAAACAGAAACGCCTAGGAACATCATCACAGAGAAATGCACAGCTGGTTCCGCTGGACCACGTGAAACCATCAGTGCACACCATAGCACATTTACCAGATGAGATATTTGCTCAATTTCCAGCTGCTTCAGTTCGCTGGCCATCTCCGATGCCATTCTGCGCTATCATAAGGTTACATGAACAGAGGACGTTGTCAGAGGCCACGGCGGAACTAACCACTCCCGGAGCTCGACGTTCGAGTCAAAGCGGACATCCACCTGACCCCATAGGTACCCGATGTACCCCTCCTTCCCCCACGGTGGAACCGGCCGCCATCACGTGAAAAATGGACCGAATATGCTATCTATGATGTCTGGATGCGTTGCACATGCTGCTTACGTATGTAACGCTTACTGTCATTTTCAAGTAACTCAACAGCTGTTTGCCCCTCGCAACTCTAGCATACGCAGCATAAGGTGGGGAGGAGATAGGCACGGTGTACACTTTCACACGGTACAAAATACTTGGACAAATGTTATCACTTTCCATAGTACACAGGCAACGGACATTTTTGTACTTGTTCCCCTAACTCAGTAAGCATCTGCAGCCTAGCCTCGCGGGCGTCTGACTCTAGGCTTCCTACCTATGTGCTTACCGACTTGCCCACCTACCAACTAGCATGCGTGCCATGAAATATCAGTGCAAAAACTTGGCGCACCGACTTCCTCTCTGGGATGTCTTTTAAGTTATTTTTTTCAAATGCATCTTTTTCCTCTGCCAATTGGGCATCGCTGAGCTTTCGAATCCTCATGACTCTGTATTTGGTTCAAGAAGGAAGTGCTGGTAAACATTTAGGTGCCCAAACACTAGTGTTCACGCATATTTGTTTCCATCTTCTGCTTTGCATAATAAGACGGGTATGCTTTCGTGGAGTGACTTATACTTTCTGACATGAGTAAAAAGTAGGTCGCAAATTGTATCGATGATTTGTTTTGTATTGAAGTGATTGCTGTTTTAAAATATTTTCTCCAGCCTAAGATACTCAAGATGCAATTTCTATACTACATCATCGAGGACGCCTAGATTCATGTGGATGTTTTTTGCAGTGGTGTTCTCAATCCACGTTGTCGGATACTGGCAGCGATTTTCGACGACTCTAATTACTTTTGCTTGCCCTTGCTAACTTATAAACTTAGCTGCCTTTGCAAAACACACTAAAAAATACTTAATGAGCTCAAAGTGACAAATGGTAAACATTTATGGCTGGGAACAACTGTTTTAGGACGTCTACAATCATAATACGCACACCATGCTGGAAGCGACTAGAAGAAATCACCGCTTTTTGGGCATTTCTGTCATTGAAAATGCTTTCAAGACATGAATAGCAAAAATGGCTCCAATTTTTTTTTACCTGAAGGCTTAAAAATGTTATCGGTATAATCAAATAACTGACAGGATAAAAAAGTCAGGGTCATAGAGATATTCAAGTATGAAAACCGGCGACTGTGGCTGCGATTGTACCGACCTGCTACGATAATTATCAGACTCGTGTTTTCTAGATCCGCTTCCGTCATCTGAGTATCATCTAAACGTGTCACTATGTGCTACCTGGATGCACCTTTCAAGTGCATTAGACGCCTTAACCTTCCTTGTACCAGTCATCAACGGTGACAGGGTTTCGAAAATTGTGAGCATGTGTTCAATCAAGATGGATATAGGAACGCTAGGGAACCAATCGCGAAGGGCTTAACACCTGTACATTCGGATGACGGAAGGAGCAGTCTTGAATTCCCTCGAAATATGGTTAAAGAAGGATGTTCTCATGCGCTACCGTGGTAAAGGAGGTGATCCTCTCCGTGGTAAAGGGAGTGTCCCATGTCTCTCTGTTTCTCTTCATGGTAAATGAAGTGTTCCACATTTGTTCGAGGTGTTGAGCTGAAATGGGTATCTTGAAGACCATTCGGTGCAGTTCACATTCCTGCCTTTCTTAAGACTTAAACCCCTCTATTTTCTGAGGCACACGCCCGCGAAAATGGGACGGTATGCCTGGGAGAATATTTCAATGCCACCTTGGTATTCATGATATCATAATAGTGTCATTCAAATCCTGCCATTACATAAACCATGCAGCGATTAAGGTCGAGCATAAATAGAATTGTCAAGTCGCTCAAATCTGGCGCTCGTGAGCACGATTTCAAGACATAACGGCCGTCAATTGCCTCTCAATCGAGGTTTTGGAAGATGTGATTGCGTAATCAAACAATGACGTACCGAATAGCATATGTACTAAACGGAGAAATTGTGTTATCTAAAGCAGTCTTTTCTTCTAAAAAATATAACAATAATTTTAAGTGAGCTTGTTTTATCACATCTGATGATTGCCTCAATATCCCCCATGTGAAACATTCTCTCTAAGCGTTCGCGAGAAGTAAGTGGTCATTATGTACGTGGCTCGAGCCCCTCAGTTCACACCATTCACAAGTAAACAATCGATCAAATCGGCAGATATTGGAGGACTGGGGTGGTTCTGCAGCGCGCTACTGAGCACAATACTAGCCGATCCGAGCGTGCTAGGCGGGCTCATGAGCCGCACGCCACGGCCGTCCGCCTTATGCGGCCGTCAGCTTTTGGGGGAATATCGTGGTTTCTGTCAGATCCAAATGTCCGATGTAAGCATAAACTGCACTAGGCACAAGGGACTATAGCACACGGACGGTTACTTTCAGCCAAACTTAATGCGCACGGAAAATATGGGCTCCATGTCGTTATTACCGTAACCATCGAAAATCGTTTGAAGTTACACCAAAACTGCATAAAGCACTCCAACGCAAAACCCACTAGCTCGGCACAGTTAATGTATCGTCCAGTACGTGACGTCCAGTCCGGTGACAAGGACTGGCGCGGCCTGATGATCATTCTTTTCAACCTTGTTGGACTGTCCCTCGATCATATTTTGTCGAATGATTGCTTCTTTCAGTGCCTTTGCTGCCGTTTTCAACACTGATAGCACTGCCTGGCTCTATGAGCGATGGAACGCTCCGACGGCATGCGTGACGATTATGAACGCTTGGTGCTGCGGCCAGCTCGTAAATCGATGTCGGATGTCCGAGTAGCTGGGCGCTTTGCATCGATCATGTCGATGCAAAGCATCGATGCATCGATGTCACAGCTGTGGATGGAAGGCCGCCATTCATGTCGGTATACGCTTACATGGCCGGCGTGGTGCCAGTGGCAAAACATTCAGTCATCAGACGACCACAGCAAACGCGTCTTGAAAGCGCCGCTATGATTTGTCGTGCGACGTTCTTGGAATATGGCGGGTATGATGTACCGGTGGTCAGCCAAGCTCGTGCGGTACCATCAAACAACTGCTTTCAGTTGTGTGCCATCTGCCAGAGTATATTCCCTGCAGTTTGAGTTTGAATTAAAGAACGGGAATAAAGAGTAAATAATAAAGAATAAAGAAAAATGGAAGACGACAATAGAACGATGCAGTCCAAAACGACACAGTTCAAAACGATAGTACTCCGCCATTAATTTCACCGGCCAAAGTCTCGCTAGGAAGTTTCATAGGTCACCTCTTAGTGATTCATAAAACAAAACTTGACAATCAGAAGCTAGATCTGGGGCATGACTAATTCGACCCCATGTTGGTGTGTTTTTGGCGATGTATGGCACTAGGGCAAAATACCCGCATGCGACTGAAAGCTGCTGCCACATCAAGCAGTACTTGTTAATGAAGCACTTATACACATTGCAAGATCGTCACAGGATTATGGCTGAACCCTCGGGCTGAATGTCTGTCACAACGTTGATAATTCAGTGTGATTTGCGGTTGTTTCTGCAGCTAATGTCCCGCCAATTTGTAATTTTCCGGTCCAGCAGCTTGTGCCATGTAATAAGCGTGACCTGTTGGGCCAACCCTCCAACCAGCCCACACCAAGCGAGGCTCAGGCGAGCCCACCAGGAAAGCCCGCCATCTGGCCGAGGTGTAGCGCCGTCGGCCTCTGTGTGCAGGTGACGGCCGGCTGCGGACGCTGAACGGAGCCGTCTTCACGTCCACCTGCGAGCCGGCCGTCTGGTTCGCTCTCCCGTCGGAGAGCACGTGTTCGGCCAGCACGGCCGAGGTATGGTGCCGGGTCAGACAGGCCCGGACCAACCCGCCGCTTAGGGGTGGTCCCGGACCGTCCCGTTTCTCAGGGGTGGCCCGGATCGGCCGGCTGCTCATAGGTGGGCCCGGACCGTCCCGCCGCTCAGGGGTGGCCCCAGACGGGCCCGCCGCTCAGGGGTGGCCCCAGTCCACAGAATGCTGCACGGTCCAGGCTCGGCCCCAGTCCACGGACGCACGACTGAGATTCGACCCCAGTCAGTGATGGCAGGCAAAGCTCTATCCCACCGATCGCAGTAGGGTAGCACAATCTGTGCTTCGAGGCCACATGCTATGCTATGAGGCACGTGTTACTTGTCACGTAGCACGTGGCAGGTGGACAGCCAGCCGACTGTCTGTCACGGCCATTTAACGGAACTGGAATGTTAAGGTTGTATAGCTCCTCCCGTTTTATATTTAAGTGTACTGTTTTGTTCGATGCTCGACGTTCGATGTTTGTTCGGCCCTTGGTGGTACGCACGACCCCCAAATGACGCTTGGTCGTATTCGGGTTTGCATTCTCGTTCGCGTATTTTGCGCCCGTTTATGTGTCTGTAGCTTTTCGGAACAGAGTGTTACAAATGATAACACCGGCGGTGATAAACACGTAAGACACGCGTCGTTGTAAAACTAATCTTTTCGAATTTAGGTTAAGCAAACACGGAACCTCCCCGAACGCCTTACGTCCCGAGCTGGTGGACCACTGTCCCAAACTGACGCAAACCCCTGTGCTTCGCTTGCCGTGGCATGCAACGCTGGGTTGTGTCTTGAACCAGAGGTGTGACGGCACATGCAAGCTACTGTGGCCTGAAACCATTTTTTACGCCGGGAGGATCTACCTCGATGATGTTTGATACTGCCAAAACACAAGAAGTCCCAATAGCCAAAAATATTTTTTTCCTCCATTTTTGGTCACACCTCATATTTAGAGCTGAGATTGTTTGCCGGCCGGGGCCGGCCATCATGGAGAGGCCCACATTTAAGGAGATCGCGAGGGTACATGCCCCTCCCTTGTGATGTTTTTATATAGGTTTCACATGGGTTCGAGACACACGACCTCTTGGGGAAGCTGGAGCTGTACCCCCCTCTCTGTGCCCTGCACCCCCTCAATGATGTACCGCAAACACACTCACATACATTCTCCGTTCTCGAAGCCGCCCCGCCGCAGGCCTTTATTTGCGGTCAGGTAACTGTCCTTTATTCGCCAGCGTTCGTCACCAACCACACACACCTCCACATCGGCCCCCGCACGCTTGATCGGGTATGTGTCGCATGCCTGACTGCCTGATTGTGCTGGGGCAATGTGTCGCACGCCCGCACGCCCAGCAGGATCGATTGTCGCTAACAGGCATCGGCCTCACAGGGACCGTTCCTGACGCTCGTTTTGGACGGCACAAACCATCGGGGGGGCGCCTATCCTTGGCCGACGCTGAGCACCGAACTGAAGGCCGCCACACTCCGGCTACGTGGTGGTGACGCTGTTGGTAAGTTCCCCATGGAGGGATGTGAACGGCGAGACGTTTGGCCGTCGGGATTTTCCTTTTGGCCTTTGTGCCAGCCCATGGTCTGATGGTCATAAGCAGCGCTCGATAAGCTGTGCCGTCCCTCATTCATGCGTTGCGGCGTAGCCTACCATGCCAGGTTATCGGAAGCAGGATGTGTGGGAACTTATGTATGTGGAGCAAAAGACCGCCAATTTTCCTGTGAGCTCAAATCGGATTCGCATGCGGCAATGCAGTTCACGATAAGAAAATGTTGAGATTGTTGTTGTGGTAACACTGTTGAAAAGTTCAAAGCCTGGTGGAAAATGCTGGTTGTGCCCATTTCGATGAGATTTCGTATGGTTGATTACGCGCTCGCCTAGCCGCGATTTTCGAGTCGTCCACATCAGATGACTGAATGGGGCTGAACAGACCGTTGGGCGGTCTGAGCCACCCGAGGCAATGGGATCTTAAAGAACACGTGCTGCATGATTGGGATGATCGTACCACATCGCCAGCATCTGAAAGGTATCTAAATTCCCGCATTACAGCAGGGCGTTATTTAAAGATAACAATTTTTGCGATGAATTAAGGCACTGCAAAGTTTGTGCAATTTCAAAATGTTTCTATGAAGTCGAGGTATATCCTAAACACTCTGACAAGAAAATGATTGCTTTCATGCAAGTCAGCTAATGTGCAATAGGTAAACCACACGTATCCAACTAAGAATAAGGCTGTTATTTTAGAAGAGGCCACTTTTAGACATTTCTGCAGCCAATGCCTTTAATTCGCCCAATTTCCAGGAAAATGTGGCAATGTATAATATGGTACGGCAATCAGCAATGTGTATCAGTCCAATTCGTTGGGTACCAGCTGCCTCATATTGTTTACATTGGTGCTGTGTGGAGCAGGGCAGGCTTTGAGGATCCTTTCATTCGAGGATCATTCAGCTTGAATCATGCTAAGGCAGGCAAGCCCTGCAGGCTCTGTAAAAACTGTGTCAAGCTCTGGAAGTACCGCATACCTATGAACAGGGACGCTACCAGAATATGGGAGTTTGCCTTGTCGCGTCTGCGTCAAATGCCACCGAATGCTTTTGGTAAGTTTTGAAAGGCTTCGCAGAACGACATCTGGCCTCGTACCTGTCCATAAAAGGATGATCTCAATTCTTACCAGCTAACCGCGATTTTATCAAATTATGCGCCTTTACAAATGTTTAAACGGAGCATGTCTAGCCGAAAATTGCTGCCAAAGGCGTAGGATAGAAAATAAACGCTTAAGTTTTAAGAGCTTTGAAAACAGTTTTGCACAGCGATCCTTCGTAAAAAAAAATGTGATGATAAAAGAGGAAGTGGGATCTGCAGGCAAGTTGGAGTTTGAGTTTTCTACCTAAAAACGTTTTGATGCGGTTGTGTAGCCGAAATATCAATGCATCTATCAATGTATCCCGTTTATTCGAAGAGGAATAAGGCTAAAAGTACTATTGTATGTAAGTGCGGAATGTTCCTCGCAATTGCGCTTAACAGCTTACGCAATATGCGACAACGATAAAGCGTGTAGGATTTCAAAGCAGCGGCTTTCAAGAGCATAGCCCCAATCAGCGCGCTACTCAAACGACTCTAAGCATCCACATCACGTGATCTTACGTTGATACATCGTTTGGCATTAACAGAGCATATTCCAAGCGCTTGCGAATCACATGCGCCACATTTTCGGGCTGCTTAATGTGACGAAGCCAAACGGCATGTGTGGAGTTGTATGCTGAGAGGCAGGCGACGCCATATGGCCTTAGCAGCTGAGTGCGTCGTAAGCCCGCAAGTACTCGCCCGATGCACTTACGACTGGAACTAGTTCGACGAACTTACGATTGACACTGCGGACGTTGCTGATGTGCTCATGCTCGTAACTAACATTGTAAGTTTGTATCACTCGTCGTTTGCTTTTGCCAGATGAATGCTCGGAAAGGAGTTTGTTTGCCTTCCCGGGAGAGGTACTGGAGCATGTGGAGATGAACATGACCAGCTTCAGTGTGGGGTCTTCTTTCACCATCAGCTGCAAGAACCGAGCACTGGTAAGCTAAATACATCTACTTTTCATCATCCCACATGACAGTGTTTTTACACCGCTGGTTCATGGAAACAGCATGCGCCATTGGCTTTGGGCAACGTGACAACTTGCTTTTGATTTCTCTGAGTGGGAGTCATCTTTCAGTAACTTGGAGATGTGTTCCTTCGACCCGTTTCATTTAGTAAAAGACAGATATGCACATGCATGGACGAACATCATTTCTTTATCATTTGCACTACAGTCATAGCAATCGCATTGTGCTGTGACTATTAAGGTTCGCATTGCCTGATAGGTCTCAACGTCTTGAAATCATGGGTTGAGGTGCAATGGTCGCTTCGGCAAACTTCCGAACTACAGGTTTTTGGACCGAGGAAGTTCTCTATCTGAATCTGAATGTGTGGGAAGCCTCACCGGCGGGACCCTGGGAACCCCTTCGTTCAGAAAAAAGTATTTCTGGGATTACAGCATTGTGCTGCGCGGATGTGTTCGACGACTGCACCGTCTAACGTGCCCAGCCTCAGGCAGGCCGATCGATTATTTGCTCCTGCCGCCCTACTTACCTGTGGATGTATCATGCAGATGTGTGTGTGTGTGTGTGTGTGTGTGTGTGTGTGTGCTGACTATCCATACGCTGTATCTGTGGATGTATCATGTAGATGTGTGTGCGCTCACCATCCATACGCTGTATCTGTGGGTGTATCATGCAGATGTGTGTGTGCTCACCATCCATACGCTGTATCTGTGGATGTATCATGCAGATTTGCGTGCGCTCACCATCCATACGCTGTATCTGTGGATGTATCATGCAGATGTGTGCGCTCACTATCCACACGCTGTATCTGGGGATGTATTATGCAGATGTGTGTGCACTTACTATCCACACGCTGTATCTGTGGATGCATCATGCAGATGTGTGTGCGCGCACTATCCACTAGCTGAAGGCTGCTGCAGAGATAGCTCTCACTTCCCTTTTGACTACTTTTCAATTCAGACATAGTTGTCGATGACTATTGTATCCAGTTTGGCTATATACCCAATGGTAGGAATTCTATGAACTCAAGCCCGCGGAACGCGATGACCATCGGATCCTCAACAACAGGACAACCACTTTCTCTCCGGAGGGTGTTCTAACCACCCTGTCGTTCCCTCGGCGGTGTGAGGCAGCACGTTTTCTCGCTGGAAGTTCTGCTCGTTGCATTACGTGCTCATTTCCGTGCCAAGAGTACCTCAAGCTTTGTTCAGCGCTTTCATGCATGGGAAAAAATGACCGCGCGTTAGTTGTGCTGAAAAATTCAAAAGAGCTTGTCGCAAGTATGCCATGAATCGATGGCCAGGACCGATACACTTATTTGATAGTCTCAGAACTAAAATGAAAAGAACGTGTTGCGCGTTTTTATCATGTAAGGTTGTGTGACACGCTCCTGATTCATTCACTACCCGTCTGTATGTGTTACAAATTTTGCCTTTGCGTTGTAGCTTTGCAAAGTGATGGCCTTCCCATTGGCGTGGTTGGAGGTAGCTGTCACTTGGTGCAC